CCCACATGTGGGTGTGACGGGTCCACTCGTCCCCGTGGCCATTGCCCCGCTCACCTCCTCTCACCTCCTCTCGTGGGACCACTCTGCACGTGTAGGAAGGGTCTGCAGAAGGTGTAGACCTGACCGTATCACTCTTGCATAGACCTGTTCGGGGCGTCGGTGTCCTGAAGGCGAAAGTCCAGACTCCTCGGTCTCGGGCTCTTCCCAGCCTGCACCCCTGCATCTCCACCTGTCTGCAGCCACGTTCGTGTTGCTCATCTGAGTCAATTCCAGGCTTTTCGTTCTTCTGGGCTTGTGCCATAGGGTGCGTGTGATCACAGGAGAGAGACAACGAGAGGGAAAGATGGAAAATCATCCCCGGGGCGAGGGCTACGCTACAACCCCTTTTCCTCCCGGGATTTTTGGGCCTGCAGGGATGCACTCCCTACATGGCTTTCAAGCTGCCGGGTCAGGGACTCGAACTGTGGTCGCCACATGGGAGGTTTGTAAGCATGAAACAAAGGCTAGAAGGAGACCGTGGGAGCAGCCATGACCGGCTTGTTGGGGGTTTACAGTGGGAAGTCCTTGCTCTCATGCCCCTCTGGTTTGTCCTCTGACTCGTGGTCTCTGGGTCCTCTCGAAGTACTCGTTCTCAGTTGCATTGAAGGTGGGCGTGACCTGAGCTCGCTCGGGTGGCAGTAGCTGAGGGTCTCCTCGGGAGCCAGCCTCTGTGACCGGCGTGGACTGTGCTCTCTTTCAGGACCACAGAGTGTTCTGGCTGGTCACGGGAATCATGTTCATGGGCAGTGGCCTGATCTGGAGGCGTCTGCTCTCCTTCCTCGGACGGCAGCTGGAAGCGCCCTTGCCCCCGACGGTACGAAGGGCGTGGCTCTCCCTGCCCCTCGGCTCCTGAGTCAGCCTGGGCCACGCTGTCACAGGCCTCCCGACTCTGCATGACTGTTCAGTGTCCGTAACCTCCTCGGGGTCCCCAGTGGTCAGGTCGGCCAGTACTACCTGCTTCCCAGGGCCCGTGGGCGAGTTAGCGAGTGCCCGTGTGCAGAGCGCTCGTCAGCAGTGAACGCGCAGCAGGCTCGGTCCACGAGGCGCTCAGTGGCATCCCACGCCCGATGCGGCACGTCTGTGCAGGTCTCTCCCACAGCCAGGTGTGGGGCATCCGCAGTCCGTGGGTGCTCAGGGCTCCCGTTTGTCCTCGTTCTCGTCCTCAGAGGCGGGACTGCTGGGCCGTGTGCAGACCCCTGCTTTGCCCGGCAGCCCCTCACTCGGTCGTTGCACAACATCGCCTCACCAGTGGCTTTTCTTCTCAGAAAGATGAAAGCTGAGATTAATTTTCCTGCTTTGTCTAGATGGCCTCTTTACCCAAACGGACACCCCTCCCAGGTAGAAGGGTGGAAGTGAAAAACGGCCTCAGGCCAGACGGCCTGGGCGCAAGAAGTATCCTGACGAACCGGTAGGAAGCGGCACGTCTTCGGCTGCGACAGCCCAGGACCCTCCGGTACCCCTTTCACGGCTTGCTTTGGTAGTTGGACACGTCAGATCACGTTATTTCAGTGACATCTGAAGATACAGCATCGTGGCGCTCACGCAGCGGAACTGGATTGCATTTGCAGAGCTGAGTGAACAGCGGAGACCGAAGTCCTGGCCCCTGCACCTTTGGCGTTCTCATAGACACGACTGAGGTGTAGAGAGGTTTCGTCTAAGCCAGGACAGACCATAGTGTAGACATTAACATTATGAGGAAACCCGTGACGTGTCCTGCTGAGGGGAGCCCGGAGACATGGCAGACCTGTGGTGGTGAGGCCGGAGGCTGCAGGGTCGCATTCCTGGGGTTTCCCGACTCCCGGGAGTTGAGAGCTGGCGGAACCTCTGGCAGCCCCGAAACGAACCGATCTTGACTCAGTGTCTGTCCCTGTACCTGTTCCCTGGTGCATAAAGCGCGTAAAGAGAAACGCTAATTAATGTTAGCGCTGTCCGACTCCAAGTAATGAGGATTCCCATTCCTCTCCCCCGACACTCGCTCTCCGCTTGGCTGCATGGGAGCCTTAGCAGTAACGGGAGTCTCCATCTGCAGCTGCTCTGTGGCCGCTCGGTCCATGCCTGAGCGAGAGCAGAGGTCCTGACGCTGCCCCGGGGTACGATGTCACAGCCCGGCTGTGGCCTGCACCTCAGGCTGACGGGGGCTTTCTAACACTGGGGGTGGACAAATGTTAGAATTGTGATGTCGTTTCATTTTCACCATCAGGTTTGACTTTAAGACAAGTGGCCAGTGTCTGTAAATCTGGGAGCTGCTGTTGTACTCCTCGCCGTCCCTAGCTCCCAGGGCTACAGTGACGCGTGACACAGGAAGTGAATGGTGTGAGACCACGACCCTACACTCCAGCAGGAGGAGCAAAGGGGTGGACAGGCCTGCCCTGGGGTGCAGGGACCCGATGACCCTAACAGGGTGCTCAGGGAGGAGGTGCAGGTCTGCTCCCGGTGGCCCGGTGACAGGGACAGAGATGTCATTCCCGAGGCTCCCTTGAAGCAAGCCACGAAGTCACAGGGGAGGTTCCCCTCCTGTATGACGGGAGCCGGGGAGCAGGGTAGCTTGGCACAGGCTGAGCAGAACGCGGCCCGGTGGCCCACCATCCCCCTGGGGCGTGGGTGTAAGTGCCCTCTGGCTCTAGGAGCCTCTGAGGAGTCCCAAGGGTACCCTTGGTGGCACTCTGAGATGTCACAGCACCCCTGGGCATACCTCAGTGCTCCGCGCTGCGTTTGGTCTCACCCCTGCAGACAGCTGTGTAGGTAACAAAAATCTAACTGTGACACGGGAGGAGGTGGAGCCCAGAGGACAGGTTTGATGTGACTAGGACCCAGCAGAGAGCAGGGTTTGGCCATTTTTCCTGGTGTGTTACTAATGGACGTTCGGGGGCTTGATACAATTATTTTTTCGATGAGTCACGTCACGTTAATTAATAAAAGGGGAAAATAATGTAACTACCTCATAAATCTCATACAGGGAAGTTACCAGGGGTGTGTAAGGTTCTCGACAGGGATGGAGCATGATTTCAGAACGTCAGCCTGTTCCACTTGGTGTTCACAGGTGCTTCTTAACATGAGCAATAAGCCAGGCCGAGGCCCACGCGCCGAGGCCCACGGTGAAAGCAGGTGATCGCAGACCAAGCCTGGGGCCTGTGGGTAAGCACGGCCGCGCCCTCGCCGGCATGTGCAGGTGTGTGGGATGATGCGCCTGAACGTCTTCCTCTTTGGAAGGCCTGTAAACAGGGGCACGCAGACATGACCCTCAGACGCTGTTAACAGTCCCGTACTCTGACAGACACGCACTGTGAGGTCGTCGCGGATCTGGCTCTCATTCGAAAGGGCGTTTATTTTGGTGAATTATTCTAAGAGTCGTACACAGCTTTATTTTTTACAGTTGCAATATTAAGTCACACTTTGGACCTCAGGGAGCGATCTGAGGATGGCGTGTGCGGAGGTTCACTGCAGGTCATCTGAGTCTCAGGTCTGTGAAACCGAGGCACGAGCACCCCAGCCTCAGCCTTGCAGAAACCCCTGCGTGTGCAGATGGTACAGAGACAGTACACATCTGCAAACGTCTTCTGATATTTCGAAATAAAGATCATTTTAAACTAAACTGTCCTAAGTTCAGGTCTGTTCATGAGAGTGTAAACACTATAAACTATTTCCATTTATGTGTTTGTCGGGGGAAGTCCTTTTTCTCTGCAAAAGCACATCATGATTTTCCCAGCAACCCGATTCTTAGCATTTCAGCCTCAGTGCCTAGAACTACAGTTAGCACGTAGAACGATCACCTACCTGTTGGGTGAGGCATTAGATTGTTGTCTATTCATCTTTTTCCGTATGCTTGGTTCTTACATATTCATCACCTGGAGTGGCCGTTAACGGTAGTATATTTTACACTGCTTTTCACAATGAGATTAATATGGTTAAATATCCCATAAATGAAAAACGGCTTCCAGAATTATTTTTTTTTCCAGAAAGCTTTTTGCTATAGGGCACAAAAATGTGCTCACTGGAGAGACAGGGACAGAAACAGAAAGCAAGAAATTAGCCCACCCCACCCGCCGTGGGGGAGTGGGCACGCATGCACAGGAGCCAGGTGCGAGTTTTAAGCTGCCAGGTCTGGACTCAAACCGCAGTCGACTACATAGGAGCCCAGCGATGTAACCGTCACACCATCCACTGGTCTCACTTACAGAATGTTTTTGCCTTTTAAAAATACTTTATTTTAAACTTACAGTCCCTGATGTATAAATGTCGTGTAATCTAGGTGGAGTAGTTTGCAGCGTGGCTCTTCTCTCTCTTTTGCTCTGAACTTTTCTCTCAGTACTGTTTTTGATATACCCCAAACATTTGGGAGTTTTGTATTTTGGTTTTAGTTGTTTCAAGAAATCTTCTAATTTTGCTCTTAATTTCTGTAGATTTGAAATTGTTCAGGTGTGTATTGTTTACTTTCCATGTACTTGTATGTTTCCAAAAGTTCTTTCTGTTGCTGATTTCAAGTTTAATTCTATTGTGGTCCAAGTTATTATTCTGTTCTTTTAAATCTGTAGAGGCTTGTTTGTGCCTTACAGTGTGGTCAGTCTTAGGGAATGATTCAGGCACACCTAAAAAAAATGCATATTTGGTATGTGTTGGATGAGATGTTCTGTAACTGTCTGTCAGATCTATTTGGGTTCTAGTATCCCTCATTTACCTCAGATCACACTATCTAGCCATGTGGAATTTAGCCGCCTTAACCATCATGCCACCAACTGGCCCTTTTATTGGTGAATTTTATACTTTATGTAATTCTCTTAAGTATTTCTTGAAGAGCAAGTCTAATATTGGTGAATTCTTTCTGTTTTTGTTTGGGAGTGACTTTATTTCTCCTTCGTATTTGAATGACAGTTTTGCTGGGTATAGTATTCTTGGCATAAACTTGTTTCAGAATTTTGAATAGGACATCCTATTCCTTCCTTGCTTGCAAGATTTCAGCTGAGAGGTCTGAAGTTAGTCTGCTATGATATCCTCTATAAATAACTTGGCACCTTTCTCTAGCCATTCTTAGGATTTTATCTTTATCACTTTAGACATTTTGACTAATATGCCTTAGAGGAACTTCTGACATTAAATCTGTTTGGCATCCTTTGAATGTTCTGAATCTGGATATCTATGTTGCTCCTTAGATTTGGGGAGTTTTCAATTAATGAACAATTTTCTATGCCTTTTTCTCATCTCCTCACACTGTAGATGCCTATCATGTGGGTATTCAGTCTTTTAATTGTGTCCCAGATATCTTACATGTTCTTATTCTTAACTATTATTTTGTCTTTCTTTTTGATGGTTTGGACTCTTTCAACGGTTGTGTCTTCAAGTCCCAAGATTCATTCATTCTGCATAGTTTAACCTGTTTTTGATGCTGTACAGAAATCAGGTTTATTTCCTGTGTGATACTCATCATCTTCAGGATTCCTTTTTTTATCTTTTTTTCAGGGTACTTATCTCTCTACTGAGTTCTTCATCCGTGAGGTGGAATCTGTCTCCTCTCCTGGGGTTGTCTGTATTCTCTTGTAACTCTTTGAGTCATTTGTGATTTCCTGCATTTTGTCTGTCGTTAGTGTATTCATCTGGGCCAGAAACATTTGTCTTTTCTTTTCTCTTATTTCCTTGAGTTGATACTCAGGCATCTGGCCCAGAACTCACTTCTTCCCGTAAAGGGCCAGGGATTCCTTTGGACCCACAACTGCTGTCCTTGGGGGTGGCTCCCTGAATGCTTTGACCCTGTGTGGGGTCTTCTTCCAGACGAGGTCCCAGGGTAACAGTTTCAGCTGAATATAGGCAATACCTTCTGTCGTAAGTAAGTTGCACACATGACGGGTCTGGGTACTGGCTGAAGAGTTTGGGCTCGGGGGTGACTGGTTGCTTAGTTCACCATCTGTGTGCCCTCCCTGGAGTAGAGGAAGCTGTCTTCCTCAGAGACTGGGTCTCTGCCATCCTGTGGCACCTCAGTGTGGACAGTTCATTACAGGATGGCAAGCCGAGGACTGTTGGTGCAGGTGGGGCTCTGGGTGGGTCGGCAGTGATGGAAGGTAGGCCCTGAGTGGGCCTCCATGACACAGGCAGGAGGCAGGGTCTCTGGGCGGGCTCCTAGCACTCTAGGGGGTCCAGTGGGGATGCCATGTGGGCCTTTGGCGCACTCACGGGGGTGCAGTGGGTGGGCCTCAGGCAGTAGCCGAGCCAGCCCTGCGGCATGGGCATGTGTACACAGGGGTGCTCTGGGTGGCTTCGGGGCCCCGTGGGGTTGCGACTCTGGAAGTCTAGCCTCCCCCAGTACTGGCTCTCTGGTGTGCCCGGGCATTGAGAATGTGAGGTCAGCGACGGTGGGTGTGCTGCGCCTCAGGCCCCCGCTAGCACACCTCCACGGATAACGTCCTGGGCAGTGCAGGGGTGCATGCTGCCGGCCACCTGCCCGCCCACCTGCCACAGCGCAGCCATAGCGCCCCTGGGCGCCTGTGAGCTCTGCACCCGTGAGCAGCTTCCCCTCCCTCCCGTCCAGTCTCTGCGCAGCCTCTAGGGAAGAGGGGGCCCCAGTTACTTGTTTTCTCCTGCTTTTGTTATCATTTCACCGTGTCAGGCAGTCTTCCTGAATGACACAAGCCGGCCACCTGCCCGCCCACCTGCCACAGCGCAGCCATAGCGCCCCTGGGCGCCTGTGAGCTCTGCACCCGTGAGCAGCTTCCCCTCCCTCCCGTCCAGTCTCTGCGCAGCCTCTAGGGAAGAGGGGGCCCCAGTTACTTGTTTTCTCCTGCTTTTGTTATCATTTCACCGTGTCAGGCAGTCTTCCTGAATGACACAAAGCAAACTGGCTACTGTTCTCAGATTTAAGACGCCAGTAAGGATTTGGTGAAGCCGAACTCACCCCCCAGGTGCTGCTCTGCAGGGCCAGGCCTGCTCCCACCGCCGCTACACCTCGGCCCAGGCCAGGCCTTCCTGCTCTCATTCTCTCCACGCAAGTTGTGGCGGGCAGCTGATGGCACCAGGGCCCCTCACGAAATGACCTGGCGCTTGGGGGTCACGCAGTCTGTTGGCCCTGATGCCTGCCCCAGCAGAAGCATTCGAGGCACAGTGACCATGTTGGATTAGCTGGTGGCTTGACGTTACGGCAGCTGGGTCCCATGTGACCACTGTGGTCCTGGACCCAGCAACCTGAAGACCACGCCAGGCACGTTGCGTGTGTGCCCAGAGTCCTGAGAGGAGAGTGAAGAAGGGTGTTCAGCCTGGCCATCCCCCACCCCGGGAGCTTTCTCACCCCCACGTCTCTGGCAGGTGCACACACCCTATGTCAGAGCTAAAAGTGATCGTGATTAAGTCTCGTATTTGCTCTTATCTGACACACTGAAACGCACAGACCTGCTAAGACAAGACGGATGACAGGTGAGGTCACGCCTACCCCACAGCGTGCCCCCCAGGCATGCCTCTCCGAGCACCGCCCTCGTCATCACTCTGCAGTGGCCCCAGCAGCCAGTACGTTCGGCTATGAGTACTGCTAGGGCTGGGCAGAGGTGTCTGAGGGGGGACCTCAGGGAGGACTCTGCCATCAGGACACGGCCGCACGGCAGGTCTGGTGCAGACCGCGAGCTGGGGAAGAGGTTCAGGTGCCACGGAAGCCAGCGTCGGCAGGGTGGGCCACGGGTCCACGCTCTCACGTGCCCGGGCGTGGTCGTAGGCGTGCTCCAGGATGAACTGCGCCCTTGCCAGGCGGGCGGGCTGCACTGTGCTGCGTCGTTCCCCGGAGCACTTGTGGGTGGAGGTGACGGTGGCACAAGGGAGGGGTGGGGGGCGGATGGGGGCCTCAGTTGGCGTCAAAGCTGTACACGTGAAGTGCTCCAGAGATGCGGGATCCCAGAGAACTCCTTCCCGCGGCAACGACAACCTGGGCCTGTGGGGACACAAGCCAGAGTCCACGCCTGCTCCTGACCACGGGCTCCTGCTGTCGCACACATGGTGCTCGGGAAACATGCGTGACCGGGACACGCCACGCCCCGCGGCCTCTTCGCCTTTGAATACCATCTTGGATGTGGGGGTCCCAGACCCCAGGCACCTCTGCAGGTGAAGAACAAGGGAGGTGCCTTCGTGCCTAGCACCCCCGCGTTCTGGCTGTGACAGTGGACACAGGCAGCCTGGCAGGGTGTGTCAGCTTCAGGGCCACCCTCAGAACTGCCTCAGCCCCTCTGCAAGGTCGGAACCAGCGTGAGATGAGCAGAGGCGTTCTGAGCCGAGGCCGTGACCAGCCCGGTGCTCACTGGCTGCCAGCACTGGTCGGAGCAGGTGCCACGCCGCTCACTGGACGCTGAAAACGACAGTGAGACCCTGCGATGGCAGATGGCTGAGACACAGAGACCCGTGGGCCCGGGGCTGGGCGTCTGCCGGCCTGTTCACAGGGAAATCACTGCTCGGGAAACGACCCAGCCGTCGCCTCACTCTCGGGGCGCGGCTCTCCACTGCGCAGCTGCTGGGCGGACCACTCTCCCCCGTTTCCTGGTCCTGCCGTGCTCACGCCTGAGGTCGGATCTCCCGGCCCCTGGCCCTCAGCCAGTCGGGTCCACACACCTCTGCAGACACGGCTCCGGGCCTTGGCCAGGCCGCCCCCTGCCCACCCACCTTGGCTCTGGGTCCTCCTGCGCTGACCCGGGCGCTCCATGGCCCCCAGGTCTGGCCTCTCTGGCCCCACCTGGATGATGAGTGCTGGGCGCTGGCTCCGCATCTCGGGTTCTGATGACACTCGTCACTCACCCCCGTCAGCGACCCCCCGCCAGGCTCCCCGCTGTGGAAGGCGGCCGCCCAGCCCAGCCCGGGTGCCGCAGGCCGTGGGGCGCAGCTGTGGGACACAAGCGTGCCAAGGCCCCAGCTTTGCCCTGGCTCTGAACACGCGGGGGTGCGTGTGATCCTGGCTGGCTGGGGCTGGGGGATCGCGGCGTGGGCACCGGCAGGGGGCTCCTTCCTCCCTCTCCCTGGAAATGAGTCAAACGTTCAGGCCTGCCACAGCGGCGCAGCGCAGGTGCCCGGTCCTGGCCGTGACCCCCGCGGGCTGCGAGGGTTGTGGGGTCGCAGGGGAGACACCGTTACGAGCACTCCTCTGAGCCTCAGCTCTCCTTTGTCACAGCCCGCGTCCTCGGAAGGCCGAGGGGCCTTAGAAATCCTGGCACCCCGTCGGGGCTCGGAGGAGGCCTCTTCCCCACTGCTCATAGGGTGCTCGTGACAAACGGCACATCGGGTGTGTCACCCTGAGCGTGTCAGGACCCTGAGCGCTTTAACACCCACCCAGGTGAACTGACATGACAGCGGACTCGGCGTTTTACAGGGCCGCTGCTGTGCCCTGCCCGCCTCAGCCGGCGGGTCGTGGCGCATGGGCGTCTTTGTTAGGAAGCAGAGGTGCTTGAAGAATGCCCGACTGGGGGGACGGGCGAAACTTACACGCAGGCCGGCCTTAGGGTGAACGTTCCCGTGGCCAGCCTTTTGAGAATAAGCCCACGTGAGCTGTGGCTAACCCGGAGTTTTTGCTGTCACACATTTTGGGCTGTCGGGACCTCGGTCTCTGAAGCAGCCACAGACAGGGCACACACGTGCACCACGTTCCGGTCCAACACAGACACAAAGGGGGCCTCGTGAGCGGCGGATAGTGTCTTCTGGGTCAGGGTAGCCTGTCCGCGGCCGTGGCCGGCTAGTCCCCGGGAACATCAAAGGGGCAGACGAGCCGGCCACGCCCTGGAGAGCAGAGGTCTCCGGGGACCCGCCCGGGACAGGCGTGGGACCCAGCGTGGCCGCCACCCAGTGTGACGCTCCGTCTCGAGGAAGATGAAGCCCAGAACAGAAAGCGTGAGCGCCCCGCCCCCGCGCCCCCCGGAAGCAGCAAGGCCACGGCCCTACTCACCCGCTGCTTGGACCGCACGGTGGCCAGCGCGCTCCCAA